TAATTTCATGAAAATACTGGACTGTTCAGTTGTTTTGCATGAGATACAGTGATCTTTCACAATATAACTTGCAAATATTCTCTTCTTTAAAAAATGCTTTTTAAGTATCCTTAAGCAGATCCTATTAAGATTGCCCTTTTAGTAGAATAGATGTTTTAGCAATTTAGTCTGGTTTTCATCTTGATGCAGTAATACTGATGCAGAAGGCACATATGAAGATTGATGTCTTAGCCTCACAGTAAATTTATTTTTCAAATATTCAGTCTGCTAAATTGGAGTGAATGTGATTTATAGGTCTTTCATTAGAAAAATGATTTGAGAATAGTCCTATATACAATAGACATCAATGTAAAGAATCACTTCAAATTACTCCTTAGATTTTTAAATGATACTTCTTTTGCTTAGAAAAATAATCCCATGTCTCTTAAAAGTACTACATTCATAAAGTGTAAACTTCTGTGAAATTACTTTTCCAGTTTCCCTTTGAAATGATTGTCTCTGAAGCAAAACAGATTTCAAGTTAAGTTTCCAAGAGAGCTACAGAAATCACCAATTCCAAAGCATAATGAGATCAGTGAGGAACATATTTTCTGTTTGCTTCAGTAATAAATTATCATGAAAATGTAGCTGATCATGTTGTCTGGCATGAGATACTTCTGGTAAATGCTGTCTCCTTTCCCACTGAAGTAAATGGCTTGGCAGCAGTTTTGAAAGCAAAATTGTGGCCTATTCCACTTTGCACCCCCAACCAAAACAGTATGGTTATTATAGTAGCAGTAAGAGGCCAAACATGGGGTACAAATCTTTCAGCTTGCCATCTCAATTTACTTCAGTGAGGATGTGAATGAGACCAGGTCATGTTAGAAAATGCTAAAAGTACTGGTATTTGACATAAGTGGTAGTCTAATTTCCCTCACTAACTGGTAATACAAGAAATCATTCATCCTACTGTGACTTTCCTGTGCCATTTTTCCCATGCTAGCAAAATTTTGTAACAGTGAGGCATGTCTGCAGGCTCTGTGGGTTTTTGTGTGCCTGGTGATGGGCAGTCAAGAACAGGAAACCATCGTAATCATATTTTAAGATCTCTTTCTTCCTCACCCTCCTGTTTGAGCTTCAATGTAGAGCAGCAGGACAGTCGTAGAAAGTGAACTGGCTTGAAGATATCTGGGAAACTAACACTATAGCCATCTTGACTGCAGGAAGGTATTTATATTTTAGTTCCTTTGCTTGCCAAGGATAATAGCCCTTTCTTACACTTATTTCCCCTCAAAATGGTCCAAACAGGCCAAAGAGGAAAATATGCTCAAAAAAGGATAGAAGGATCACAGTGTCAATCATGACCTGCACAGTAGAACTTGTCTTCCAGTAACACCTCCAGATAAGTAGATGAACTTAAGACCTAATTGACCCACATCTTGAAGCATTCTGTTGGAGTTGATGGGACATCCTTGCATTGGAGCAGCTACAGCAGTATTTGGGTTGCTGGGGAATGTTCTTCATGTCAGTCAGGCTGCAGCTCTTTACCATGATCACACAGTATTATGTGTTATGTCAGGAATTTGGAAATCCATGGTTACTTTTTGTCTCGTTATTGATTTGTGTGATTCTATGCTGCTCTACTTGTGCATTTTACAGAAGGATCATTGTATGTGTAATTCATCAGTTTGACAGCTTTTCTTTATTCTTCTGAGAACTGTGCATTGAAGAGCTAGGTCAAGCCCATTCAGTTTAAGTTTTAAGGTTTAAGTGCTGATTTTGTTTCAGTAGAGCTGTACCTTTCTGTTTAAAATTGCTTAAAATTTTCAAATTGCTTAGCCAAATCGTGTCTGTTATAGCTGGGTCTTTTTTTTTGCTTTTTGTTTCTGCATACTTAATCTAGTCTTTGTCTCTGCTTGACTCATCTCACTAAACTACATAAAAATTTCTTTCTGTCTAGTAGTATTTATTCCATAAAATCTGAGGTCATGTGTTTCCTGGAATTCAGAATGAGGAAAAAAATGGATGAGAGTACTTTGTGTATACAACACAGAACCCATTTCATCATCACTACCTATGAGTACATAAGGGAGCTGTCTAGCCTTCTGCTTCAAAAACTAAGATCTATGTTTTGAAGCAACTTTCAGAATACCAAAAATATACTTATTTGGCATAGGCTATAAACTTCCGATGGAAGTAATGCAAATAACAACTCTTCCACTTCAGCTGGGATTTTGTTTTGTTTAGTTTTAGTTCACCAAGAGGTCACAATATGTACTTTTCAGTCCCAAACTGTTACATTCATTGTGAAGTTTTATAGGAATTCAGCAGAGGATGTTTCTTTCATCCCTTTAGATAGATTTCACTGTAGAGAAGTTTTATTTTTCATTCCTCCTGCAGGTTGTCTTCAGGTTTTTTTTTCAGGATCTCATTTAATGAATGCTGAAGAGGGATAGCATTGCTAAGTCATAACTGCTGCCAAGCTATTGTGGTTTTACAGCCATGTTACTTAATGTGGCCATGTTGTCCTATCACTTTTTAAACTGAAGATCCCACTGAAGTTAGTGTGAACTTTTACCTCAGTTTCAATGTCAGGATGTGGCTCCTTGTACCTAGTAGTCCTCCCTGCCTAGTTAACAATTGTAAGCTGCTCTCCTCCCTTTCCTAGAAGATAAACCTGCTTATCTAGTTCCTTTCTCTTGACAATAATATTGTAGAGAGAAGAAAAAGAATAAAAGGTAGGTCTTGGACAAAAATGTTGGCTATTAATTATCATTACTGTGCAGTTACATTCTTGTGTAATTCTTGTCCCTTTGGAGCTGTATTGTGCAGATATGTGAGGCTAAGTATTTCCTCCTCCATAAAACAGATGTTATAGGTTTTCATCTCATTCCCCTGCATAAATTTGTCACCGGAAATGAAATATTAACAAAACAAAACTCCACCTCTTCCTGAATTTCCAGAATTTCTCTACAAAGGTGGAATATTGCTAACAGTTGGACAGACAGAACTCTCTGCAAATTCTAAACTACCTCAAGGAAAATGTAGAGGTTTGCAGAGGTTACATTCACATACTGCATTGTGGGTTTGTGCATGTATAAGCTGCACAACTGCAATGTAATTAACTTACCACGATTTATTTGTTGAACAAAACCTTGTCATACGTATTCCAGTTCCATAAACCTTTGGGGAAATGTGGAAATGGTGCACATCGGTTTTGTACAAGATCCTAAACCTTATCTTGCTTACGCTGTAAACTTAAGTGAAGGGAGAAATAGCTGATATTCCTATATAGGGGTCCTATAAGACAGCTGGAGAGGGGCTTTTACAAGGTCATGTAGTGTCAAGACAAAGGATAATGGCTTTAAACTGAAAGAGGGTAGATTTAGATGGGATGTTAGGAAGAACTTCTGCACTGTGAGGGTGGTGAGACACTGGCAAAGGCTGCCCAGGGAAGCTGTGGCTGTCCCATTGCTGGCAGTGTTCAAGGCCAGGTTGGACAGGGCTTTGAGCAGCCTGGTCTAGTGGAAGGTGTCCTGGCCTGTGGCAGGGGTTTTGAAACTAGATGAGCTTTAAGGTTTCTTCCAATCCAAACCATTCTACAATTCTATAATTCCAAATACTGTCTGAGATACTCCTCTATCTTCACTTTCAAAAGTAGAGAAATTATAAGAATAGAAAAACTCTTGGACTGACTACTTTTATTTAAGTTGATTAGAATGACATCTGACTTCAAACACCATTCAAGATACAGGAGGTAGCAGCTTTGGCATGACTGCTTACTTTCTTAAGTTTATCTTGGGAATTAGAGATCATAAATAAACTTTTTTAGACTGATTTCTGGAAATCCAACACTTCTTAAAAACATGATTCTCAAGGGGCCTCAGTTTACCCTTATTGGGTCAATGTAATTGATTCTAAATAAGAAGTTGAGAATTTGGCTAAAGACATAACTCAAGCTAAACCAATACCTGAGTCTGAGTAATTTAGATGGTTAAGTATTTAATATTTTAATATTTCAAACTCTTAAATAAACTAAATATAAGTTCTTTAACTTTTGATATGCTGTAAGAAAATGCTATATTACATTCAAAACTTTTTTTAAAATTGTACAAAGTAGAACTCTGCAGTGCTTTTTCCTGACTACATTGAAACTCATTTCATATTTCTTGTTGCTATAATGAAATTTGATAGCTTCCTCAAAGTAATCTAAAAAAAAAAAAAATTGTGTTCCAGGGTGACTCATAAAGTAAAAGGGGGGCACTGTTCTAAGTACAGAGCTGTGAGTTTATCTGAAGGCTTTATGATTATATCTGCATTAATCAGATACAAAATTAAAGCCCCAAAGCATCAGAAACTAACTGTGATTCAGTCACAAAAGGCAGATCCTTGCACTGAGTTCAGAAGAAAGGCTGATAAGTCAAGGTTATATTCAAAAAACTCAAAGCTCCTGTGCCTGGTCAGGAGAGAGGGTGAGAGAGAAGTGACTCTGAAGGGTTTGGAAAAGCGGAGCCAGGCACACAGAGGAAGCAGCACAGGGCTGGTTCTTACAGGGCAGTGAGCATAAGGCCTTCTGCTATATTTAGTCTCCTTTCCCTCCCTTCCCTTCCCCTCCCCCTTCAGTGCCTATATTTGATTTTGAATTGTAGAGTAAGATGTCATTTATTTATATAACTTTTTTTTTCCTTATCGTATCCTAACTTAACAAAATAAATCACTTTTCATATAACACTGCAACTAAATATAACTATGCTTAAGTAGTGCTGACTTAACTCTTCTTTTCCAAATGATTCAACCTTTATATGGAGGAATGGGAGTAATAATTATTGTTTGCACTTTTTCTTGCACCTGAATATAACATTATCCTGAAATAAGTTAGTATGAATAGCCTATTTTTATTATTATTAGAAATAAATGCTTTGTCTTGATATCTGGCTCTTTCACTTAGTCTTACTTCTATAGGATAATGGAGGATGAAAATAACACTGAATGTTATATTTATTTAATGTTTGTATTTTCAGGGTTTGCCAGGACTGGAGGGTCCCCAAGGTCCACCTGGCAAAGAAGGCCAAAGGGTGAGTAAACTTGAACAACTGGTGAGTGTGATAACTGACCTCAATGTGTGACTTCTTTCTAAGCACTAATAAAAAATGGGAAGGTAGCAGCTGAGTATGAAGCATGCTGACAACAAACTGAGCTTTGACATTTGATGTTTCTCTTCAGTTGAAGGAGATTTAACACTTTCAGCCATCTAAAGTGTTTTAATGACTGGCAGCACAGGTGTAGATATTGTCATTTGCGCAACATGTTTCTGCTGCAGTTTTAAGTGAAAAAGCATTAAAATTGCTCAGAAACTTTTGTTTTATTGCGGGGGTATGCCATACCTTACTATAGCTAAAATATATAAAAATATTGATTTCAGGTAGTTATCTAAAATCCTGACAGTAACCAGTACTATTGACCCAAGTGGTTTTGTACATGCCATTTTGCAAGTGTCAGAGAAGAGAGGTATCATGGAGAGAGATTGTGCCCAAGACATGAAATAAACCTTGATTATTCAGAGTTTTAATATAATCAAGTAACTGACTGACTGGTTTCTCTGTGTTATGTTATGTTTTGTTTTCCCTGACTTATTGAATTTGATAGTTCAGTAGAAGGGATAATGAGATTTGTGGTATCACAAGAAATAGTTCAGTTTTGGGAGTTTATAAACTAGTCTGCTCCTAAAATATTGGGAAGATTTTCAGACTCAAACATTTCAATATTTTTATGAATTATATTGTGCCCAGTTTGTGGTTTTGAAATTGAGTCTCTCAATAATACTTGGGGTTTTTAGGCATTTTGTTATTTAGTGTCTTGGATCAATGATCTGAAGTGGAAGGATTTATTATTGTTGATCTTAGTCAACTACAGTGAATTATTAAAGGCCAGTTAAATAAGTAATGGTGTAGAACCCAAAGCTATGTTTTATACTGGCTTTTAAGTTCTAAAAATGGTACTAAATGTCAGTTAAGTTGAACATGAAAATTTGAAAGCTGATGTTATTTAGGTTTCACAGTAAGGATTAAAAACCCATTCAGAAAAAAAATCAATGTAGTAACAAAGAATAAAATGTTATGTGGTCAATATTAAAGCATATTTAATAGCATAGTACATGTCATTAAGGATTTTATAATTACTGTGACTCTTACTGTTACACAATAAATGTTTAGGGTACTGAAAAGCTATGAATATCCAGTTTAAGCATATATTAAGAGTGTTTTTCTGTGGAGTAATCTGCAGAAGCACAGAGTTTATTAGTTCTCCTTTAGGAACAGTTGTAAATATGGCTGTGTTTTAAGAGGCATCATTCTTTGAACATCTGAATTTTTGAGGCAAAGATACAGAGTTAACACACTATTGTAGCTGATAAATATGGAAATTTTTTTTCTTCCATTTTTTTAGTGGCAATTAGGGATTGATACATTCATCATGGACATTTCCTATTCACACATAAAAGTGAACTACTGTCTCACTCCACTATCTATAAAAACAGCAGCAATGATTGTTTTATAATCTTGGCCATGCACACAGTTGCCTTGAGCCAAACAATGGGAACAGCAGACTGTAAAGCTACTGCATCTGTCTTTATCTTTCTACCCGTGAGATGCTCAAAACAATATTCTTTATACTGGCCACTCCCACCAAAGCATTAATAACATAGTTATCTTAATTCAGCTCCCATGTGTATTTCATTTCCAATACATTTAATTACACAATAGCATACTGTTTGTAAGATCTCTGCTCTATTTAATGACAAACAGGATGGTGCACATGTAATGGCTATTAAATATTCTATTTTATTTAATTATAGATGTCATGTTCCTCTGTTCTACTTCCAGCAGATCCTCTAAATCTTTCACAACATTATGAAGTTATTGGTTTTGTCATGGACTGTCTTTTGAAGATTAAAGCATAATATTGAGTGTGTAACTAACTGATGACTTTTCTTCAATCTATTGTTCAGACCTAAAAGTGATCTTCTGTCCATTTTGAAAGCTGCAATTATAACATATTAGGAAACAAACAAACCCAAACAAAGCCACTCCAAACCATTTGAAAGTATCTATTCAAGTTGGATGCCACATTTCAAGAACATGCATGGTTTTAAAACTTTCCATTTGCATTGTATTTGTTATATAAAATTTTAATTACCACTCACCTCGGGAACATTTTTAAGTGTTCAATTCCTTTGAAAATTAGGCTTAAATTAATAAGGAGTTGAGAGGAGAATCATTAACTGTGTGAGGTAGAGACCTCTCAGCACACATTAAAGCAAGATATAAGGAACTGAGGAAAATTAACAGTGTTAATGTTGATATTGTCAGAAACTCAAAGAAGGCTAATGTTAGAGTTCGCAGGAATAATCTGATTCAGAAATTACATAGCAAAAATACATATAATGTTATGGAATAGGGCAAGTAGAATTATATATCATTGCATAATTATAATAAACAAAGTTAAATGGGACTGTAGATTTTTACTTCAAAGTTATGCTAACCTTAAAGTATTTACTGGCATGTATGTGAAATTGTCTTGCAAGCACAAATTTACAATATCATGGAATTAGATGATGACTCTGGGTTATTTGTTTCAAGAGTAAAGGGGGAATAATTTTTTGTTGTCCAATAAATGCACTGTGGACAGTTACATGGCAAAAGAAATGGTAGCTACATGATAATCTGGCCATATCAAGACACCACACAGCAAACTGATCCTTCAACCAACCTGAAGACGTATATAGCACTCACTTAAAGGTTGTCTATGTTATGTCATTATCTTGAGTGAAATTAGTTTGAGCAGGTACTGCCCTTATAGTTCTCCTTTTGACATGGTAACCACTTCCACTCGTGTTTGCCAATGTTGCGTTTTCCTTTGGGTGCAAGAAGTTCTCAAATCTTTGCTGCTCTTCTAAAAGGACAGTGTTTCTCCTTGGTCTACCACTAGTGATTTTGTATAATTTTTTAGGTTTAGTTAAATCGTATGTAAGAGCCTTTGGTTTTAGTTCCAATCCCTGGGAGAAGTAGGCCAGTAGGAACAGCTACTCATTCTGTTTTCTGCATTCCTGAATGAGAAATGTTAGCCCATTCTGTGGGCACTATGTTCATATGGAATTTTTCAGTGTCCCTCTTTCTGGCTTCAGGCATTCAAAACAGCATGTTACAGCAACTTGATACCATTACACCAATGTTCAGAATGACATCAGGAGCTTCAGAACATAATTAGTTAGAAAAGTCCCTGGCCAAATATTACAGACCAACAGAAAATAGGAAGATTGGGTGCTCACCTAGCATTGCATGGGATTTAAACCACAGTAGACAGCTACACCATTTTCCTGGCTTCCTGCATTATGTAGGACTTCATTATTTTTCTCAGTATTCCTGCACTTAAATATATCTTTCACAGAAGTACAGTTTCCACCTGGAAGACATCAACAACTGAGACTTCACAAGTCTCCTTGATTTCTTCCTTCCAGTGTTGTCAATCCCACATTTCAAAATGTGCTTTTTACTTTACAATTGCACATGTATCTTAAGCCTCCAACAACTGTTTGTTTGTTGGATTTCTTTTTTTAATGTCTGCTTTACATTAAAGAGATATTTAAAGTTTTTTCTCTCTATAATCAAATCACAATTCCATCTGTTTTTGAGATGATTCAACTGAGTTTCTTCCGCTCCCCATGTCAAGAATTTTCTAAAGTCTTCAAATAATTCTGCCATGTTGCTATACTATCTTAAAAAAAATTCCTACTACTTAGTATTATAGACTGCACAGATTTTTCCAGACTCTGCCTTTACTGTGCAGCAAAGTGAAATTTATATTTCCAAAATATAATTTCAAAGATTTTAAAAATTAATGCTTAATTTCACTTAGATATTTTCGTAGCAGGGATTTTACCTGAACTTGATGCATTTTTTTTATTAATACTATTTTTTCTGAAAATTATTTTTAATATAATAGTTTAGTGAATTCAAAAAATTCTCTTCATGTGAAGCATCAAAGCAACTTCTTTTGGACAGCAATACTGTGAAATCTAGAAACAATAATTTTTTTGTTTTCAGTTGGCCTATAGAAGAGCCAGGCCCAGCATGCAGTTTGTGTAGCAGTTTCTGCTTCTCTGAGGTTATCTTGATATCTTCTTGAGCTTCTGGGAACATTTTTCTGCAATTTGGGCGCTTCTGGGAAACCTGAGGAAACTGAGAATGCCTGCAGCTCCCAGGTAAGGCTAAAGTAAAGGTAGCTGTGGCAACTTCTGATCAACTCCATCAGCTGTCCTTGATCAACAGGTATCTGCAGCCTTTTTTCTAGCTGACGCCTGTTTAGGGAGGGTTGAGCCCATGCCAGGAAGAGGGCTATATAACAGCCAGATGATGCAGCAGTTTGTACAGTGATAACAGAAGCAGCCAGTACATGTGCAGGAGGTTGCACAGGAGTTTATGCAGAAGGGCACAAAGAAGAAGCCAGCAAATGTTCTCTGTCCAGTATACGTGTCCTTAAAGTTCATGGTCACAAAGCAGAGGACCCGAGCACTACTGAAGTAGCTGTTTGCTGTTGGACTCTTGCACCCAGGCATCCTCAGATGGAGGACGCAGCTCTGTAAGTCTATGGGGCCTGATGGGTTGTATCCAGAAGTGCAGAGGGAGGTGGTTGATGTCACTGCAAGGCCACTCTTGATTATCTTTGAATGGTCATGGTGACAGGGAGAAGTTCCTGAAGACTGGAAGAGAGCAAAGATCATTTGTGTTTTCAAGAAGGAAGATCTAGGGAACCACAGTCCAATCAGCCTCACCTCAATCCCTGGGAATGTGATAGAGGAAATCCTCCTGGAAACCATCTCCAAACACATGAAGGACAAGAAGGTGATTTGGATAGTCTGCATAGATTTGTGAAGGGGAAATTATGCTTGACCAATTACAATGCCTTCTATAATGAGGTCACTAGCTTGGTGGATGAGAGGTGAGCAGTGAATGTTGTTGACCTCAACTTCAGCAAAGCCTTTGACATTCTCCCATAACTTCATCTTGTCAGCTTCATA